GCTGGATGGATGGATGGATGAATGGATGGATGGATGGATGGACGGATGGATGGACAGATGGATGGATGGACAGATGGACGGATGGATGGATGGTTGGATGGATGTTTGGATGGATGTTTGGATGGATGGATGGATGGATGAATGGATGGATGGATGGATGGACGGATGGATGGACAGATGGATGGATGGACAGATGGACGGATGGATGGATGGTTGGATGGATGTTTGGATGGATGTTTGGATGGATGGATGGATGGATGAATGGATGGATGTTTGGATGAATGAATGAATGAATGATGTTTGGATGAATGAATGAATGAATGAATGAATGAATGAATGAATGAATGAATGAATGAATGAATGAATAAATGGATGGATGGATGGACAGACGGATGATGGATGGATGGATGGATGAACAGATGGATGGATGGTAGGCAGACATTGAAGTGGACCACAGTGACCAGTTGTTAGATTGTTTGTGGTCTCGTGTTCACAGGTTTCTTCATGGAGCCCACTGTTTTTACTGAGGTAGAAGACCACATGTTCATAGCCAAAGAGGAGTCCTTCGGTCCTGTCATGGTCGTGTCCAAGTTTAAAGATGGGTGAGTCGAAGCAGAGGAAACTTTGTTTCAGATCTGCTCTCTGGTTTGGGCTGCCAACTACCTCTTGTTTTTTATTTTTATATCTACCCTGCAGGGACGTGGACGGTGTTCTTCAGAGAGCCAATGACACAGAGTACGGCCTTGCCTCAGGCGTGTTCACCCGTGACATTAACAAGGCCATGTATGTCAGCGAGCGGCTAGAGGCAGGAACCGTGTTTGTAAACACGTACAACAAAACTGATGTTGCTTCACCGTTTGGAGGCTTCAAACAGTCCGGCTTTGGGAAAGACCTCGGTCAGTAGAAATGTGAACTTTTAGTAACTTTTGGCTCGATGATTACGTCAAGACAGTTTTAAATTTTTATTCTGCAGCAGAATAAAAATGCATACCTGTGTAAATCAAACTATATAGACCGTGAAACATTTGCTAAGCTTTAACTAAACAAAGGCATTAGTTGTGTCTTTTCCAAAACTCTCGTCCTTTATCTCATTCCACAGGAGAAGACGCTCTTCTGGAGTACCTCAAGACAAAAGCAGTGACTGTGGAGTACTGAGGCCCAGACTCTAACCCACATGTGGACTGGAAGCACTCGAACACAGCCGACACTCGGAGCTTCTGAACAATGTGGATGGATTTCCAGGCTCAAGAGTTCTGAACCAGCAGCTGCAGGACCTGCTTGTCTGTTGACCGTACATCGGAAGACATTTTTTTTCTGGCCTTTTTTTTTAAGTTTACATGCATATTTTTAAAAAGGGACTTTTTTTTTTTTTTTTGAAATTACATCTGGAACAAGCGTCTTTTATGGATACCACCCTGCCTCATGGAGGCCAGGTTGCTTAGTGTTACGAGCAATATTTAGTTTTATTAGAAACAAGCATTAACCAAGCAAAGTGTGTTTGAAACATAAAACATATCACTCATTTTCTTGTTTTTCTTTTTTATTCTGCCCCTCTGTTACCAAACCAGTCAGGACTTGTTTACCAGAGATACATTTTTTTTAAGATAACGCTGATTTGAAACAAATATTTGCAAGAAGATACAAAAGTTAGCATGTTAGCATGTGAAATATACACATCATCCTTCAGACACGGCTAATAAGTTTGTATGGCTCACAAAGAACAGACTAACAAGTAGGAAATAATTTAGGAACAATTGTTTTAGAAATAGAAATAAATCATTCTGGCGCTGTAGTTTAGTTTTGGTAAGTCCAAAATATTATAACACTGTTTACTCTTGTATTTCTGTGAAAACACATCCTTAAACCTTTTATTTTTAATTGTCAAGAAACACAACCACCACCTAAAGAATCTTATTTTTAAAGTTGCAGCCCACTAAAAATATATACATGTACAATTTTAATACATTTTTTTAATTAATGTGTTTCTTTTTTTTAAAGAAATGTGAAAGATGATGTCACTATTATAACAATATTTATTTCTAGTTATTTTTATTTGATCTCTGTCGCACTTTGCTTAAAATACTTTTTCTTTAATTTGTCAAACATGACTGACATTGTAAATATGGGTTTTTACAAAACAAAAATTATGGAGTTTTTCATACATTTTTAGGACTGTATTTGTCAAAGAAAAAACTATGTCAGAACTTTATAATGTATTGTTTTAAAAAATACTCCCCATCAGTTCGGAAAAAAAAACACACAAAAGTTTATTTTCTCACTTGGAAAAGTGACGGCTGTCCTCAATAAAAGAGTGATGTTTGTTTTCAGTTTTGTTTTTACTCTATGGTAAATATACAACTTAATCAGAGCAAGTAAGACGGTTAAGTCCAGATTATGCGAGTTTTCTGCTTCAACACGCTTCAAACATGACAATAATTTTCAGGAAAAGATGTGTAATGAATTATTTATTAAAACTCTGGTGTCACATGTTGCTCCTGCCACAAAAATTARCACCAGAAATGATCCTTGTGCAAAATCTGTGAGTGGGGCATGAATGGCTCCCTGATGTACGACGGTGTTTTAGGACCATTTTACGGATGGAAAACAAACAAACAAAAAAGTAAATCTCAGACCAAAAAAAAATCTAAATTTCCTTTTTTTCTTCACTTCAGTAGAAAAAAGAACTTAATATTAGTTTCTTAATTTCTTCATCAGTGATTTTTTTTTATATATAAAGGAAAGAGGAAAAGATAGAAAAAAGGGGAAATAATTAGTAAGATTGAAAGAGAGATTAGAAAATATATTAAATATACACTAAGAAAACAC